CAAGGGTCTCTTCAAATTGGGAGAGGCCGTGATGCAGTGCCTGCCTCCAGGCTGAACACTCAGATGTCAGCGAATCGCTATAGCGATCACAAAAAGCCAATGTCTAGCGAAAAAGCTGTCATGCGGGGTAGCTGTCTAACGAGGCACCACTGTAGTCAGATTTTTAGAGTAACAGGCAGGAGACTTGAGTGGTAGACATTCGTATTGGATCTCGATCTCGCTTCTAGCTGCTACCTAGGGTCGCTGGAAAGAAAAGGAGGAAACCACTGGCCCCTATTCCTCCCACCCACCCCAGAGGGGCTGTCCAGTTTCTCCTCCCAAGTTTCCAGCCTCTGAGCCTGGGGGGTCTCTTTCTCTTCCCCCCAAAACCTGGAATACCTGCACCATCCCCTCCTGCACCTTGGGGGTGGGGCAGGGAGGTTTCCCCCCAAAAGCAAACCCGCACCCGGGCTTGTGGGGAAGAGGCTGTCCTGGCCCCCCACTCACCCCAAAAATCCACCACTACCCCACTCTTCTGCTTTGCATCTTGCACCCACTCTATCTGGTGTAGCTGGGGCGCCCCTTCCAAGCCCTTGCACCCAATGGGGGGGCCACTCACCAGCTCTTCCTGGGGGAGGAAGGCCAGGGACAGATCCTTCCCCCCCTCCACCCAGCCGAAAAAGAGGGGGCAGTTCAGCAGCAGCGGCTCGACTCCCGCTCCTTTTTTCCCCGGCTGCACCACGTTGGGAGCCGCCACCCGCGATAATAACAACACGGGCTCTTTTATAGACTCCGGGGTCGGTGGTGGTGGCCGGAACTTTCGAACCGAGCCCTGTGCAGGCGGAGGGGGAGCGTTTAGTGTAGAGCACTCGCTCCATCCTAGTCCTCTCTTTTAAGACCTGTCTAGGAATCTCATCGCGCTCCATCGTTTTAACCCGTAGAAGGCCGAGCAACAAGTTCAAAAGGGTACCTGCATAATTATTTTTGGGGGATTAAACCCCGCAAACATCCTCGGTAGCCTGATTTCTGAGCAAGCATGCCGAGGTGTGGGTCTTTTAACGTTAGTTTTAAAAGAGGTAGTGATATTAGATTTATACCCAGTAGACTGGGTCTACTCTGGGCAGTTATCTGTAACCTGCGATTAATTTAGCCACTGTTGACAGTGCAATGCTTTCTGAGAGCTGAATATCAATGGGGGCTTTAAAGGTCATTGCCAGGTCAACAAGTACTGCCCAAAGATGAGGTCGTGTATAAATGTATAATTACGGTAGGATTCCCTGCACCCAGTATCTGCTGATTCACCTATCCACGGTCTGAAAATATTTTAAAAAACGATAAAAGAAAAATCCTAGAAAGATAGATTTCTAAGATAGATTTCCCAGAGGGAACCAGAGACCATGTTGTGTGTAGCATTCAGTATTAAAATAGCATTTGCTCTATAGTCTTGTGTTTTTCAGCATCCAATTATCAGCGAATACTAGGGACGTTGGCAAGTCTGAGTCCCAAATCCCTGTTAAAAACAAGGTTTCTCCCACCCAGAAAAAAAAGGAGAGGTGGGTGGATCACCCCAGATGCTTTTATTGTGGCATTTTCAGAAGGAAATAATAAACACACACACAAGGCACATACAGTATACTGTATATAAATACACACACACACACACACAGAGCTACCTCAAAAAGACTATAGATAGATAGATAGATAGATAGATAGATAGATAGATAGATAGATAGATAGATAGATAGATAGATAGATAGATAGTCAAAATACTATATTCTTTTTGACGTTTTGTTTTTTCTTTTATTTATATATAAATACATTTTTATATTTATGTATACATTTTTATATAAATATAAATATATGCTCTAATGCCTCCCCCTCCTCGCTCCGTGAACTGATCTCCAGTAGGTGGCAGGCATAGCATTTATATAGCATTTATATATACTGTATATATTTGGCACTGCGACGCCATTAAACAACAGGGAGGAGGAGGAGGAGAGAGAGCAAGAAAAGCTGCAGCATGAATGGTGAGTCGGAAAAGGGGAGGAAAAAGAGCATTTGGGGGGGCAGGAAGGGCCCCCTGGCTCAGTGGGTAGAGCCCCCACCCGTGCCAGCTCCAAGCGCCAGCTTCAGCCCCCTCCCTGGCATGCACAGCAGCGGGAGGGGGGAATCCTGTTTTATTGGATCGCCTTTTATTCTGAAAAGGTAGGAGAAGAACGTCCGGAAGGGGCGAGTTCCGTGTTTTGTGCGTACACGCGCACAGGCGCGCGTACAGACGTGCGCGCAGGCAAAACCTCTACCCGCACAAGGCAGATCACGTGTGCACGGTTTCCGATCCCGGTCCCTCAACTCTGCCCTGTTGATACCGAGGCAGGGGAGAGGCATGGCCCTGGGTGCAAGGATGGAGCTATTTTCAAGATGTGTGTGTGTGGGGGGGGGTTATGAGATCACCTCCCACCACCCCCAAATATTCAGTACCTCCAGAGATTAGCGCGGCTCCCTCGCTGGGTATTTTCAAGAACCAATTAAAAACATGTATGTTTAGGCAGGCCTTCCCATCAGATAATTCCTGACACCCCCTTTTCCCTTTTCTTTTACCTCTTCTTTAGTTATTTTGTTCACTATTTTCGTTATGAAAAATTTTTTTCTGTGCATATTCATTGTATGTTTTTTAATGTTGTTAGCCGCATAGAGTGGTCCTGATACGACCAGATAGGCGGGATATAAATACAATAAATAAAAATAATAAAATAATAATATTTCCTCTGAGCTTAGCCACAATGGCTAGGAACCCTGGGCAGTTGCAAATTATTCTTGTGGGTCGGCAAAGAATTAGGACAGGCCACTAAGAGCTGTTAACTTTACAAAAGACCTGCCCCTCATCTGGTGGTACGTACGGGCTGGCAGCTGGCAAGGGGTGCCTTTGATCGCCTGTATTTCTGAGCTGACTGGATAGCTCCACCATGGTTTAGGTGTCTGGGTTGCGAGTTCGATTCCCCACGAGGCCTCCTGGGAAGAAAAGCCAGCCTGGGTAGCCGCGAGCCAGCTGCGCAGTCCCAAGGCTCGCCCCAGAAAAAGGGAAGGGGAAACCACGTCTGAGTTTTCTTTCTCTGGAAAACCCCCAAAAGAGACGCCCTAAGTCTGAATCGACTTGACGGCCCATGATGATGATCAGGATGATGATTTACGAGATCCATCCCCACCCTCCCCCATAGGGTTCCATGGCACACAGTCATAAACAATAATGATAATAATAGAAACAATAAAGTAACAGTGGAAAAAAGGGCATAGGAACCACAAAAGAATAAAAAGGAAAATTAATGGCAGGCTGGAGGCAGAAGGGATACATAAACTGAATTAGGGACCAACGATTAAAAGGCTTGGAAAAAACATTTTTCAAAATAAAAGCCCCCCACACACACACACCCATTATTAAAATCTTAGTTTTATAGTCCTCCTGGAATTTCTTCACACGTCCAAGTTTGGAAACGGTTGGTTTGGAATGTCAAAAGCCTTGGAAATATTACTTTTTCCTGGACTACAACACCCAGCATCCCCAGCCAACATGGCCTTCTATCCGAGTGGGTGGATAAGACGGACACTCATACCCCTCTCCAGCTTTCCTTT